AAAAGCAAAACATTTTCCAAAAAAATAAAAAGAAAAAGAAAAAGGAACTAAAGAACCGCAAAACCCATCGATTAACTCACCAAATGTCCAGATCTGAAGAATCCCCTCTATCCTTCTCCCTGTCCCAGTAAAAACCTTCAAAGCCCCTGAGATTAACACTGTAAGAAAGCTCGGATTTTTCCGACGGTCGGGACAACAGGCGACAAGAAAGGTCCTTTAACGGCAAGATTATGAAGCCCAAGTAATCTTTCCCCTCAAGCCACCAAGGGCCCAAAATCTCTCTCTCTCTGTCTCTCACCTTTCTTGCGCTGTGTTCACTCTCTCTCCTCTGTACTCTCTATCTATATATCTGCCTGAGGATATATATACCCTGAATTGTGGAGTGCTCTAGAATAAGGGATCTCGGACCGTCGGATGAGTACTGAGGAACTCATCTTGACCGTTGGTTTGGCCGCGCTGATCTGGTGGTAATGGATTGGGAGATGACGTGTTGGGGGACAGCCAATCCGTGGGCTTTTATTAAACTGTGGAAATTGGGAAAATGGACGCAACTGCCCCTGATTCTACTAGGTTTCATTTCTAGGAAAACGATGAAAATGACGTGTGCATATATTACCGCAGTTAAAAAAAAAAGACATTTTAACCATTGGGTGGAGTTTACTTGTCTTGGGGGGTTTTGCATTTTGTCACATGAAATCGTTGTAATTTTATTGTGTGGATTCACATGCAAATATCTCTTTACTTATTTTTTTCTTTGGAGATGGGAGAGTTTTTCTTTGATTGTATCTCTAGTTACATTTGAGATTTAGTGCATTAAACAATGTTAGAGTAATCAAATTGTGAGCTTAGCAACGAGTGACACGTATTACAAATCGAATCTCAAAATTTAAATTGAGAGCTTAACAACGAGTGACACGTATCACGTATCAAATCACAAAATTGGATATTTCATATTGTACAGGTGTAAATTGCGTACATTCTGGATATACATGGTGAGGAGTAAAGTTTGAGTCAACATTCAATATTAATTACTTACGAGATCCAATTTTGATAATAATATAATGACATTAACTTTCAATTTACTTGTTTTGCTGACCACACACCACGTAGAAATACACACAATTTATCTCATTTTTGCCCTCTTCGTTGAGTAGTTATTTATAGTTGCACAAGAGCCGAGCTGAGTCGAGCATTACTCTTATCGAGCTAAGCTCGATTTCTCTTATTGTTTGAGCTCGATCTTGACAAGCCAAATACAAATGCTTGAGATCAACTCGAATTTTGCTCAGTTTTGGCTTGAAATTTTTTTAAAAAAATTATGTTGAAAATATTTTGGTAATTATGCGTATATATTCAAGCAACTCGTCGAACACTCGAGCTTATAAACTAAAAAATCTAGCCTCAAGCCCAACTTGATTTTAAATTTGCAGTGCTGGAATTTCGGCCAACCTCGAGCTAGAGGTGAGCTTTGGATCAAGTGCTCGCGAGTGGCTCGATTCATTTGCAACCTTGAGCCACCTTGTGGCATCTCTTGTCAATGATTGTATAGTCCACTTGCCTCCACCCTATGCGCCTTTATACAAAATTTTGTATAAAATCCTTTTTCAAAAAAACATGCATCTCGTAAGCTCGACTCAACTCTCATTAAGGCTCTAGCTCGATTCAGTTCATTTAATAAACGAGACGAGTTCGAGCTCATTTAGTTAGCTCGAATCATTAAGGCTTGAAAATAGAGATTCTTATTTACATTTCTAAAGCTTTTCTTGTCAAGGTTTGAGTTTAGCTCGTTAAAGCCAAACTCGATTCATTAATATTGATAATCGAGTCAAGCTAGAACTCGTTTTTCAGCTCATTTAATTAACAGAGCTCAGCCCAATGAAGGTTCGAGTCTGAACTTGAGCTCGTCTCAGCTCGTTTCCTCTATGTACAACATCCTCATCCATTGCAAACTTTTTATCCAACTTTAGTGTACATACATGTATCCTTACTAGGAGTTGTGGTTGACAATTAGGCCATAGCTGATATTTACACGAGTATATTCGTTTGATATTTTGAGTGACTTGAATCTTTTTAAGATTTGAGATTTTTAAATATTTTTCAGATTTAGGAGGAATCCAATGAAATCTTAAGGAGGGTGTATTCGTTTGTGATTTTAAGAGGCATTTTAAGACTTTTTAAAATTTGATATCTTTTAAAATTTTGAAATTTAGAGGAATCCTTGGAAATCTTAAATCTGGATGTAGAATCTGCGGTGAGATTAATTATGTGTTTTTGTTATAAATTTCAGGAAATCATAAAAAGTCTAATTAAGTAAATATCAATATCAAATAAGTTAAATAACTCGTTATTTGTTAAGAATTTTTTAAATTTCAAATGAATACCTCGAGATTTTTTAAAAGTCTTAAAAAGTCCAAATAAAATGAACAAGTATTTTCAAAGTACCAATAAATCTGTAGAAATTCAAATGAATACACTTCCTTAAGTCTAGGGCTGAGATTTTGAGTGATGTTTCGTAT